GAGATAAACATAATCGTCTTTAGACTCTGTCTCGATGAATCTCCATTCCAAGAATCTTCTTCGTAGGACCCAAGTCTTTCATGTCAAATTTCCAACTCAATAAAGCTTTCAAGCCTCGGACATCATTCATATTCTTTACAACAATCAATATATCATCAACATATAGTAACAGAAAAATAATAGAACCATCATCAAGGCTCTTCACATAAACACAATAATCATACTCACATCACCTGTAGCCAATCTGAATCATGTAGGAGTCGAACCACTTGTACCACTGTCTTGGAGACTGTTTCAACCCATACAACAATTTCTTTGATCTGCAAACTAGATGCTATTGTCCAGGTTGAGTGAAACCTTCTGGCTGCTTCATGTAAATCTGCTCCTCCAGATCACCATGCAAGAAAACAGTTATAACATCCATCTGCTCCAAATGCAAATCCCAAATTGCTACTAATGCAAGCACTGTCTTGATTGAAATATGTCTGACCACAGGAGAAAAGATTTCATCATAATCTATCGCATTCTGCTGTGAAAATCTCTTTATTACCAGTCGATCTTTGAACTTTTCCCTTTCTTTTTTTGATACTGCTGGTTTCCTTTTGTACACCCACTTGCAACCAATAGTCTTCTTTCCCTCATGAAGCTGAACTAGCTCTCATGTACTAGCTCTCTCATGTGCGATTTTTCTGCAAAGACTCTATCTCCTCAACCATTGCACCCATCCATTTTTATTTCTCCTGGCTAGTGATAGCTTCTTGAAAAATGACTGGATCATCGCTGCTGATGAGAAGTGCACAAAAGACCAAGTCTTCATAACCCAATCTGCTAGTAGGTCTTATATTGGTGTGTCTCTGTCTGTCTCTGGCTAGATTATAATTCTGCAGATCATTTGGAATGAAATCATCAGGTGTTGGATTTGAACCTTCAACTCTCTTAGTTGTTTCTATATGTTGTTCTAAATCCATTTGCACTGCATCTGAACAGGAACTGTTCTCTGACACTTTGTTTTGATTCTGCTGCAACATGGACTGTTCATCAAAAACTGCATCTCTGCTGATCACCATCTTCTTTGCAATTGGATCCCAAAAACTTGTATTCTTTCACACATTTCTTGTAGCCCAGAAAGATGCACTTCTTGGATTTTGCATCAAGTTTTGATCTTTCATTTTCAGGTACATGCACATAAGCAGGACAATCAGAAATCTGTAAATGATCGAATTAACTGGATTATCTGTCCATAGCTCTTCTGCGACCTTGCTACCCAACAATGTCCGAGGTGATCTATTGATGAGATAACATGTCATATTCACAGGCTCTATCCAGAAACTCTTAGAAAGCCCTGCATTCAGTCTCAAGCATCTTGTCATTTCAGTTAAGGACTTGTTCATTCTTTCTGCCACACCATTCTGCTGTGGTGTCTTGTGGACTGAAACATACCTCTGAATCCCATGCTCCTCACAAAACTTCTGAAACTGCGAATTTGTGTACTCAGTGAATCTGTGTACTTTGTGCCATTATCAGACCTCAAATACTTGATCTTTCTGGCAGTTTGGTTCTCCACCTCAGCTTTCCACAACTTGAATTTAGAGAAGACTTTGGATTTTTGCTTTAAGAAATACACCCTACACCCAAACTTTCCTGGATCAAACTTTCCTGGATAAATTATCAATAAAGGTAACAAAATATTGAGATCCTCTCAATGACGATTCATTGATAGGGCCTCATACATCAGAATTCACATAATCAAGAATCCCTTTAGTTTTATGTTTTCCAGTCATAAAACTGACTCTAGTCTGTTTAGTCTGTTTTCTACACAAAACTTACAAAGATTGAGCTTGCAGCTTTTAACACCATGCAACAGGTTTCTTCTATGCAATTTCGTCATCCCACGTTCACTGAGATGACCCAGACGCATATGTCATAGCTTTGTATTATCATCATCTGACTCCACAAAATGAACTCCACATACAACTGTACTCCCCAACAGTTTGTAGATATTGCCTGCAGTTAACTTTTCTTTCATCACCGTCAGTGCACCCTTAACAATTCTAATGGTTTCTCTGTCTTCATCTGTCTTAGGAATGAAACAATTTCAATGTGTAGTGTCCAAAAAAATCAAATTCTTCAGATCTGGAATATGTCTGATATCACATAATGTTCTAATTGTGTCATCATACATCTTAATTCTGACTTCTCTAATACCAACAATATTGTAACATATGTCATCACCTAGATAAATTGAGCCAGAATTAGTTGACCTGTATGAATTAAACCACCCTCTGTTAGGTGTTATGTGATAAGAGCATCTTGAATCAAGAATCCATGCATCCGTGAACTGAGTTGATGAAACTGAAAGCATATCGTCATCACTGCAATCTGCATTGTCACTCTGCACCACATTTACAGACTTCGATAATCAATCACCTTTCTCCCCAGTCTGTTTCCTGAGCTTTGGACAATCTTTTTTCATATGACCTGACTCTTTGCAATTGTAGCAATGAATTGTTTTTTTTTTTTCCTTTGGACTTGGATATGGAATTTCACCTTCTAGAACCCTTGTTCTCATTCTTCCTTCCACGATCCTGCTTACCCTTAACATATAAACTGTCGTCATGAGAGCTTTCCCCTGCATTCTGATTCCGTTGGTTGTGAGCCAACAATGCTGCAGTAATCTCATCAACTTTGATAGTTTCTTTTCCATATGTAAGAGTAGTCACCAGGTGTTTATAGGAAGAAGGTAATGAACACAACAAAATCATCGCTCGATCTTCATCCTCAATATTCACATCAAGTCGTGACAGGTCTGTGATTATTTGATTGAAGTTATTAACATGCTGCGCCAGATCAGAATCTTATTGCATCTTCATCCCATACAACTTTTGCTTCAGATATAATTTATTTGTCAGAGATTTAGCCGTAATCTGTGTTTCCAATTTCTTTCATATCTCCGGGAGATTTTAGATTCATCGTGTGCATAACTTCATCTATCACATATAGGCGTATAGTTGTTGCCGCTCGTTGTTGCAATTCTTTCCAATTTTCATCCTCCATAGCATCTAGTTTTGTTGCTCGCGAAGCCTTCAAGATTTCCTATTGAGCCAACAGATCTTTCACTCTTGTTTGCCATAATCTGAAGTTACCAGTTCCATTGAACTTCACCATCTCAAATTTTGTACCAGAAATTGTCATTTGAAATTGATTCTGCAACAAAAAACTTCTGTTAATTCCTCTGCAAATCCTTGTTCATAATTTTTTTTAAAAAAAGAAGGATTGAAAAATTCTCTTAATTAAGTTTCCTTAATTAAGATTTTTTTTCAGAAAAGTAATAATTTTTTTTTTGAAAAGAAAAGATTGAAATATTTTTTTTTAATTAAGCTTCCTTAATTAAGTCTCCATTAATTAAAATATTTCCTTTAATTAACTAATTTTCAAAAAATTTTCTTTTTCCCGCAAAGTAATAAAATAAGGACTTCCAATTTCTTTCTCCGCATGCAAAGGAATAAAATCCGAATTTGATTTACTTCTAATTTTCTTCCCCAAAGAAAAGAAATCGGAGCTTCCAATTTTCGGCTCGAATTCCTTTCAATCTTCGGCCTCTTGCAAAAGAATGAAACTAATTTTCACCTCCCAACAAAGAACTTGGAGCCTCCAACAATGGAAAGGAAATCACCTCCTCGAAAATATCCCAATTACACCTCCGCGCCCTGCAGCCTTCCGCGACGAACCTTTTTGCCGCCTCCGCGCAGGAGCCGCCTTGATCGCGCAGAAGCTCCCCTTCTCGCCAAATCCTTCGCGTAAAGCCTCCTCCTTCGCCAACGAAAGGAGTTCTCGAAGCCTCCTCTTGCTTGGTTGGTCAAAGCACTAGCCGAATCTCTGCCGATTCCGAACTACCGAGGGCCGAATTCGCTCCGAATCGGCTAAACCCAGCCGCCAAATCTCTTCGTCCCTGCGCCGCCAATCCTCGACTGGGTAGAACCTTCGTCGAGCTCGGAACTGCCGCCAACCTTCTTCCTGCGCCGACAAAATTTTTCTTCCATGCCTTCGAACCTGACTCTGATACCACTTGTTGAGAAATTAGAGCGAAGAAAAACAGGAATCGACACAAATTCAGAAGAACACACAAAGATTTAACGAGGTTCGACAAAGATGTCTACGTCCTCGGGAGTGGAGCAGTGACTTTTTCACTAATTCAGAAAAAGAGTACGAGATACAGAATATGGGATAACACCTAGGGTTACATACATGTTTATTTATAATCCTAGAAAACTCTGGAGTACAATATGTAATTACCAAATTACCCTTGTACCTCACCCCCAACCGACATAAGGGAACTCCCCTGATTTGGACATAATCTTCTGTTCCGCTCCACTTCTCTCCAACATCTGTCCCTTATATGGTATATGAGTCATACCTAACAGAAGTCGAGGACAAATACTCTCTGTGGAACAAGCTAAAGTTGGAGCACCACTCACCTTTGGATGCAACCCTAGAAGGAGAAACCAGAATACCGACTGCTGTCCTGAACAGAAATACGAAAAACCTGAAATCCAAACATAATACAAGACCTATGTAGGAAAAGACTAGAAATGAAGGAAGGATAAAATGAAACATGCTAAAAATTGGAAAGGAATTGAAAGAGGAGTTGCTCGGTTTGGTTCATGCGACCCGGATACTGCGTTCGATCATCATTTGCACGAATCCTACGTGCAGGATTCGATCCGATGGGCGCCTGGGCGCTGGGCATCCCGCGCAGATCTTGTTATTATGGTTGGACAATCACCCATGTTAACTGAGACTTCGTAGAATAGAGAAATCATGCAGTCAAAGAATTTTATGAAATAAGTCGAATGGTTAATATTGTTTATCAACAGATATTTTGTAGCTTCTTTTATGTAGCCCTTGTATAAAAACTATCACAAATAAATTGCCCGTTACCTATTGTTCTCTATTTCTCTAATGATGTCATTGAATCTGACACAAACTAATATGTGTCACAGGTCATGGCAGAAGTGTTTGTGTGATGTGTGCTCTTCTAGTCACACTAGGCCTTGCTGAAGACTGGAAGAAGGCTGAAAAAATGATAAGGGAAAAACGTCCCTCCATCCGCATGAATGACCTTCACCGCAGAAGCTTGGAAGAATGGTCGAAGAATCGCGTCACACCCAAACGGGTCGCACAAACAGCTGTGAGTTCTCTGTTCTTGTCCAACACTTCTCTGAAAAAGTAATTTCAGTAAAAATAGAAATTGGAATAAAAAATCACAAATGGGAAGTTGTCACTTGTTTGATTGAAGGAAAAAAAGTAGTTTTCTTTATTTTAATACTTTTGTTTTTTTTGTTTTTTTTTGTTTGCTTGATAGTCATCTTTAGATATTTGAATTATTTCTAGTATTATACATGGTTGAATCTCTTATACATCGAATATTTTATAGTTTGTCTAGTTGGATTGGTGGACAAATTTTCTAAATCAATTGAACCAAATCCAATAGATCGAATCATGCGAAGAATCTAATCAAATTAATTTGATTTGGTCAGTTCGGTTCTGATCTAACTGAATTTTTGAAAAAAAAAAGGAAAGTAAAAGATTTGGATATATCACATCCGGATGTAAGTGTTGAGAAAGGCAAAAGTTTTCATGATCAATAGCTTGACAATTAATTGTATATATATAGTTGGCAATTGTTTTGTCAGTCGTAAGTCTCATCTGACTAGGGTTTTATTCCTACTAGAAGCGATAGCACATTGGGGGAGCAGTATTTCCGAATAGCCCTTAATATA